ACATAAATTCAGAACTTCTGTTAAACAGTGCTCTCTTGTGGTTCCGTGCATCAATGAAAGAGTAAATCATTGTATAACGATAAAGGAAGTCACAGTTTGAAACTTCTTGTCTCCGAATCTAACAGAAAATCCCTCAGACTTGTATTTCATTTAATTCTGCATTTTATTTTTCTAGCATGCCAATAACCTCATTTATTAAAGACCACCTTTAGATACTGCAGTCAAGCAAAGTATGGAATAAAAAAAATTATAATGACAATTTTAGCCTTGATCTTTAATTGGAATTCACAATTGATAATATGTGCAATACCAGGATAATGCATCAATTCTCTCAAATTCTGTTGGCAGAATTTCTGCATTGCATGGATATATAGGTTATTTAAATATATAGTCCACATCTCATAGCTTCAATTAAATACATACCTATTTGATTAAAATAAAAACCTTACTTTAACTTGCTGGAGCACAAGAATGTTAAGACTACTCTCCAAGATTTCTACTTTTTTTCTAGTAATGTAATGTAAAAAACAAACTACTTGTTATCACATGTAATAAAATATTAAAAATTACTGGAAATATCAAAACATCAATTACTAGATATGATAAAGTGAGACAATGCTCTCACATTTAAATATATAAACTATTCATCAAAAAGAACAAAAAGGTTCTTACAATACCAACTTGTATGAGAAGTTGGTTTTACCTTTTCAGAATACAGCAGCTACTTTGGATACAGGATATAAAGTTTAAAAGGAACACATCTTTCAATTTCTGTAGTTATTTTCAAACTAAAATTTTTTAAAGCAACTATTACACTTTTGTTTCCTATTTATTTCAAGCCTTAGCAGATATTAACAGGCTTATCAGGATTATTATGTCTAACCTTCTTCAGAGAAGTGAGGCAAATGTAACTAACCTGATCATTCCTATCAAGGCTGTTAGATTTCACAATGTTAGACGCTGGTCTGACTTGGGCTTGTGCAAGTTCCTGGGGAGCACTCTGAGAATTTGGCATAGGCGGTAAAGGAGCTCTTCGTTTCTTCGGCATTTCAGATGGCAGAGTGTTCGAATCATACTGCTTGCTAACAGTGTTAGATCTCATGATAAATGTTGGCCTTGGCTTGCTCATCAAGGGAGTTGCTGGGGCACTGGCAGTCTTGCAGTGCGAGAAGGGGGGAAAAAAAAAATCCAAGTTACTTATACTTTCTGGAAAACAATGAACAGTATTCATTGTTCAATATGAATATGTTTCTAGAAATTCTGCTTATACAAAGGTACACCTTACTTGTTCTCTTTTCTTCTTGCTTCGTTGAAAAAAGCTGAAAAATCCTTTGTTTTCTTTCTCCTTCAGAACATCTAAGTTTTCAGATTGGTAGGTGTCTAAAATAGAAAATAATAGTTCTAGAAGTTATTTATTGCACAGATTATTTCTCCTGCATTCTTATTATTTCACTGTATGTCATAAGCCTCCTGGAAGAATATACAAAATGCATTGTAAATCACCTATATTAATAGTTTTTCTAAACACTGCAAAATGAACAGGTTTCCTACCATCTGTGTTCTTCCTGTCTTTCTCAGAACTCAGAATAGATGAGTTTCAGCTGCTATTAATACCCCTAGCACTTAATCCAGCCCATCCCATTGTCATATGTTATGGTTCATGTCACAATAGCTATAAAAGGGAAAAAGAGAATCAGCCTCTCCAGCTCTCAATTCCTAACAGTTTAAATTCATGGCAAAGTGTGAAGTGGGACAAGTCAGACACAAGCCTGCACATGGTATGACTATGGAGAAAGGTCACTGGAACACCTGGTAGGTGCTGCACATGTAACTGCAGGGCAGTCATAGGAGAGATAGTCAAGTCCATTCTGGTATCTTGCAGAATTTATCCTCCTTACATTGTCTTGTTCATGCAGATGATTTGTGAATCTAAAGGTTGTCTCTTTTTAATTTTTACTAGATTCAACTTTCTTAGCTCTTGGTACAAGTATCAATATAAACATGACTGTAAATTTAATCAATCGATCTAGGGTAAAACTACACAGAAATACTTTATATATACCTAGGTATTCTTCTGTATTCTCTTTTTAAATATGCATTTATGATAGGACAGAGATAATTACTCATGTCGCAGTTAAGTAGATGTTATAATAGGAGAGGATGGTAACGTCACATAAGTGCTACAGTTTCACCACCTATTTCAGTAAATCGTACCTTGCAAAGATGGTAAATTTAAATCAACTGGTGATGTGGCTACAGAAAGACAAAAAGAAAGAGAATGTGAATCTGAATCAAGGATGCAGTTATAAGTTACAAATACAGAAAGCCAAGCTGAATTTCAACATCAGGAAAAAGTAACTAGGTACTTTCCTGAAGTAAAAGGATGTGTATCTTTACTACATAATGCTATAAGCCGTTCAAGAACTTGAGCCTGAAGACATGCAACACTGACTAGAATCTTGTAAATAAGGAGACGGAAAGAGGAAAATCAGTATATAGAATAGTTTGCCTTGTAAGTTTTGGATTGTCAGGCATCCAAACTTGGAAAACAAAGAGGAATGTAAAATTAATCTGAATAAAATAAAATTTGAATTGAAATTCTATTAAGTAAAAGGTACACCTCACCATTTACTTTCATGAAGAAAGCTGAAAATTCGAGCTTTGAAGCTGTCTGCAAATTCAAAATGCTGAACTACTCTGTATCAAGAGAACTGAAGTATATCTAAATTTCCTAGCAGGGCACTGCAGTGTAGAAATCATATATGCCCTTGTATTCTCTCCTAAGGATTTTTGGCTGTTGATTCAAATGGAGCACACATCATACTGTGCAAAAGGCAGCTCTGCAGTCTGTGGGTGAAAGCAGTAGCCAGACAACAAACAAGACAAGGCACTGTGGGCACACATAGTCCAAGTAACATCTTTAGGCAAGCTAAAATACGGGGGTTTTTTCCAGTGGGGAAGCAAAAGACATTTCATTTTTGTTTTCTCCATGGGAAAAGGACATGTTTTCCAAATCTGTCATTCTCCTGTTGTTCAAGATAACTGGCCTTTGGGAAGTAATTGAAAGAACTCTTGAAACTGTAACCACCAAACGATAAGGTTACCATATTTAGGTAGAAGGGGAAAAAAAGACAAACAAAAAACCCAACAAAACCCCCCAAGTTTTAGAGCAGAAAGAAAAACAAGCAAATAGAACAGTCGTCAAGAACAGGAGTGAGCCAATATTATTGCATCCTATATTGAGGTAAAATTTCCCATGACAAACGTCTGAAATGGAACAAACCACACTGTATAGAATTTTTAATCACAATACAATAACCCTTCATGAAAAAGACAGACTTACAGCTAAAGTTAAAACCGGGCACAGGAACGTCTGTACAAATATAAGGAAGTTAGTTCATTGCGCCCCTGTTAGACCACAATTAAAATGAGAACTTTTACTCCTTCACAATCTATAAAATTAGCAAACAGCACTCAGAAATACACGTAAACATCATCAGAACTTTCTAACACTTTTTAAATTTTAAATAATTTTAAAACAAAACTATATTTCTCTAATGTTTTTGTTCTTTTCAGCTCATCATGATCCTATGTCTTTTCTACGAGCTAAGGGAAATACATTATCGTTAGTCTTTTTGGGGAAGGGGTGGGGGAACGAAAGGAAGGGGTTGCTTTTAAGTGATGATTTGTACTTAGCCACCTTTGCTGGTACCTAACGTTTTGTTAGAAAATAAAACTTTTATATAGCAGTTCTCAAACAAAAGTGCAGGTAAACTTGTCCCAGTTTCAATTTTGTGGAAGACTAATGAAATACATACTAAATTGCTTTAGAAAGAAGAAATTAATTTCTTCATAAGTAAAAAACCCCAACAAAACACATACATTATTGAAATACGAAGTAATTATCTTTTATATAACTGCAATTTACAGAAGTTATCTTACCTCGACTGATATCCATGGCGTATAATTCTCTTAGTCCAAGGTCATTAAGAGATTTTGTCACATCAAGGGGTTCTTGAGATTGGTAATTCTTCAACAGCAGAGTATGCGAAGGATCAAACTCACATTTACTACAGATAATTGGTATGAGTTCTTGAAGGGGTGAATGTGGACTAACTCTTACTACCGTCTTCTGTGTCTTCTTGTAGTTTATCACTACCCTTACTGTTTGCTAAAGAGAAGAAAATTCTAATAAATACCAGCACAAATTCTGAAACAACTGACATTGTTATAACAGTCTTACAGTAATCACAGGAATTCTACTTATGGCCAGCTTTACCAATGTTATAGATTCAATAACATTACAAGAGAAACTAAGAACTATTCCTTCTACACAAGAAAAGGACACATGAAACAGTCTGCTCCTCCTTTAGCATCTGTCATTTGCCTGTCCAGAAGGGTACATGCCTGGAGTGAGATGCCCTACTAGGTTGCATTGGGTAGCTGTAGAAGTCAGCCAAGGAGCCATGACTTGTGTGTGTGCATGCACGTGTAGGGCCAAGGTAAAAGGGCAGCAGAAGAACTACCCTGGCCCTGTGTAAGTGCTTTAGATTAATGAAAAAAACAGCATTCTTCTATACAGCAGAAGGACAAAGGCAGAAGGAAAGATTTAGGCAACACCCAGAAGCTGCATTAGTACTTCTAAAAGCTCCTGCCTTCCTAAGGGTATATAAAAAAAAGTCAAGTAACAACAAAAAAGTACAGTATGTATTAAAGGAAAATGAACATACAATCAGAAGGGCATATATATCACAGCATGACAGATGGTACAAGTTGTTGATTTTCAGTTTGTGGAAGGCTGTATTCAGCCACACTTCATCTGCAGAATTTGTCAAAAGGACAGTAAGGTGTGGGATTACCAATAATATTGTAATGTTTCCTTCTTTCAGCAGCAAAGATGTTTGCTGCAACAAATTGAGATGTATTTTACCGAAGAGGAGGTTATCAAAAACATGGAGCCAAGCATTTCATGGGGGTGCGTTGTAAGAGGATGAAAGACAACAGGAAAAGCTGAAACAAGAGGCTGAGTTACCAGTTGAACTTGTTGAATACAACGATTGTAATTTCTCAATACGCTTTAACTTCAGTTCTCACCTCTGGTATGATCGGAGCAGGTTTCTTCTTATCCATTTGTTTTGGCTTTACAATCACCTTTTCCACTTCAAGCATTCCCACTGGTGTGTTGGGTTTGAATTTAATCTGGCTATTTTCTGCTGATACCAACTCTATAGTATAACTTGATGGATTTAAATGATACTGTGCACAGAGAAAAATCAGCAAGTCCATCGTGGGCTTCCTGTAAAAGACAAAAGGAATTGTCACAACAGAGGACAATTAAGCAGGCTATAACAAAACATGCCGCTAAACATTTAATCCAAGTCATCCTTTCCCTTCCAGGATAAATAATTACTGCCAGGCACCAAATTTAAACATCGTCAAGATTTTTTAAAAAAAAAAAAAAAAAAAAAGCCAACCCCCAAAAACCATCCCTAAAAGGAAAATGAAACCAGTCTGCACAAAAGTATGCCAAGTGCTTGAGCAAAGGGGGAAATTTTTGCTTGAGTGAAGTGATGCTTTTCCCGAGGTCAGCAGGGACACGTGGATTAGCCACCTCATTTGACATTTAATGGGAACTGTAGCAGTGGTAGTAAATACCCTGCTATTCGTTAAGAACAGTTTCCTTCCAAAGCTTGACATTTTTATATCCATTCTGAGGTTATAAGGGACTTTATTTTCAGAGATTCTGAGCATGAGCTATTCGGAGGAAGCAGGACAAATGAAGTTTGAGGAAGTTACCTTTGAAGGAGGTCTTGCATTAGGGATCCCAAAATGAGAGCCAGGTGTTTAATACAGAGGGAAAGAAGCTAAATGAGAATATAATAGTTGAATGCAATTTCTTGAGAAGCTCTGTGTGATGCAACAGATGTCCTTTTCACAATGAAATACGGCAAACCGAATTTTTCATATGTAGTCACTAACTGTATGTCCTCATTCTCTCAATGCTCAATGAAGAACATGCAGAACAGCGTTTTAAGATAGGCTGAGCATTCCCAGTTGCTAATGGAACAAGTTTATTAAAGCTGTACTTTAAACAGAAGTGTCATAGAAGTTCAGATAGACCAAAGGTAAGGAGAGTATCCTAACGTTGCGTGTTACAGCAACTGAATAAGGTTATAGTACTATCAGGTCGCTGGAACTGGTCATTCCTCAATAATTTTTAAAGTTGGGTAATCACCTGTAAGGAGCATTTCATTTGGACGCCCTCTGCGTCTCTCAGTTACAGCTACAAACAGGGAAATCTATCACCTGCTCTGTCTCACAAGGATATTATGAAAATAATGTAAAAGTCCATGAAGCAATCAAATGCTATGTTGAAAAGAATGCTGAAGTGTCTAAGATAAAATTAATATAGGGTTTGGCTGGTATGGCTTTATCAGAAATCTTAAATTCTAGATGTAATCTCATAACAGACACAAGTATTCTGGTAGCATAGCCAAATGTGGAAATAGGTAGCTTCTGCAAAGAGCCATCAAGCTAAACAGAACTGCAGATAATGTAAACACTGTGAATACATTAAATAGGAAGTTAAACCAGACTTTTCATATGATATGGTTCTGTAAAAAGAATTAAGAATGACTCAATGTTAGAAATTACTGTGAATACTGGTTTTTTTCCCTCCTTTAATTAACCCTAGAATATAATTCCTGTTTTCAGTTGGTCTTAAAGAACAAGTGTTCCTTAAGTAAACTGTCTTCTGATTTACAGAAGCAGGGATGGACTCTGGTGCACACGCTGCACATCCAGAAGATGGAAATCAGTTTGAAAGCTGACAGATATAGTTACTGCAGACTTCTTACTTTTTTTTTTCCCCACCCTCCCAGAGGAAAGTTTCTGCCTGCTTAAGTGTCAGGAGAATCCTTGCCTTAGGAGATAAAGGCAGGAAGAACAATAAAACCAAAAAACACACAGAAATTATGCTCCAAGGTGTCAAAAAGGAGCTATCAGATGGTCTGAAAAGGTATAAAATAATGTAATATACTCCCATTCCTTCATCTAAATGATATATATCAGCCTGAGGAATACTATGAGAAATGCACTGAGCACTGCAGAAAAATAACCATTCCTCCCTTTTCACATAGCTAAACCAGAGTTTATTTCCATTCTTCTCTCGCATATTACAGAATCACAGAATTGATTAGGTTGGAAGAGACCTCGGGGATCAGAGTCCAACCTTTGCCCTAACACCGCCATGTCAACTAGACCATGGCACTAAGCACCATGTCCAGTTTTTTCTTAAACACCTCCAGGGATGGTGACTCCACCACCTCCCTGGGGAGCCCACTCCAACGTCTAACGATCCTTTCTGTGAAGAAATATTTCCTAACATCCAATCTAAACCTCCCCTGGCACAACTTGAGGCTATTGCCTCCTGTCCTATCACTTGTTACTTGGGAGAACCGGTCCACCACCTCCCTGGGGAGCCCACTCCAACGTCTAACGATCCTTTCTGTGAAGAAATATTTCCTAACATCCAATCTAAACCTCCCCTGGCACAACTTGAGGCTATTGCCTCCTGTCCTATCACTTGTTACTTGGGAGAACCGGTCAAGCCCCACCTCGCTACAACCTCCTTTCAGGCAGTTGTAGAGGGTGATCAGGTCTCCCCTCAGCCTCCTTT